GCCCCAGGAGGCCAAAATTGCTTCGTTCCATGAGCAAGCAAATTGTTCGGCGACGGACCCATCCTTGTGCAGTCATGTGTAGCGCAGTGCGCGGGTCTCTCTTTTCATCATTGCGCGCCGCGGGGCAATGCGGAAAGATGGTTGCTGAGGAGCACGCGTGCACGGGTGCGCTGAACTCCTTGTGGGGCACGATCTGCGTGAAGGACGTGCCGAGTAATTCGGATGCCCCCGCGCGAGCACGCCCATTGAGGCCGCAGGTGGATCTCGTCCGGCCACGACCCGTGCGATGCATGTTCCGAAATGGGCGGGGGACCCCATGCGAAATTGCCCATTGGTGCTATAGGTGGAGCTCCTTTGGGGACATGATTTGCGTGACGGGTTTGCCGACACGGGCGGGGGGCGCGTGATGGGGTGTGCCTCGATGGCCAGAGGGGGGCTGCGCAGTGCGAGCCCGCCTCTGGGGCCGTCGGTGGAGATTCTTGTGTGCCACGGTCCGTGTGAGAGGTGTGCCGAAGCAGGTTGGGGGGGGGTGCGAGCCTTGTCCCTGGGGCCGCCCGTGGAATTTTGGGCGGACCACGATCAGTATGAGAGGTGTGCCACAGTGAGCTGGGCGACGCCATGAAGCTTCCTTCTGGCGCCACAGATGCAAGTGCTTGCGGGGCACGATCCGCCTGAGGGGCGTACTATTTGGCGAATGTTGTCTCTGGGAACGCAGGTGGAGCTCCTTTGGGGGCGCGGTCCCCGTGAGGGGTGTGCCGATATGGGCGGGGGGACGCTAAGCCAAGCCTGTTTCTGGGGCCGCAGGTGAAGCTCCCTAAGGGGCACGATCCGTGTGACAATAGATGTCCTCCGATGCCGAACACTGCAGGCTACAACTGGAGCATGCTAGAACCTAAGCTCGCGCGAAGCGCGCGTGGTTCTAGTAGATGTGTGAAGATGTGTGTATATATATGTATGTATGTATGTGTGTGTCTTTTTTATGTATACATGTCTATGAATTCATATATATATATATATAAATATATATATATATATATATACACATATCTGTAGTCGATCGGCGGCTGCAGCAGGGGCATATTCCAGGCTTGTCACCTGTGGTTGGAGTAGGAGGGGGCGGAAGGATCGCGCCGCATCGCCCGTGCGTCGGTGATGCAGCTCGGCGTGGAACCTGATCTTCTCCACGCCGACGTCGATGCATCGGCGGCGTCGCCAACGCGTCGGCGGTGCGGCGCGGTCCTCCGACCCCATCCAGTACTCGGACCCCGTGTGGGAGGCCTCTGCGGGTGGCCGCGGGGGACACTTGCGTGGGCCCAGGGGCTCCGATCGCCTGTGCCTCCGACGAGGCTCCCCGGCGAAGGATGCGTGCAGCCGGAGAGGGACAGGCTGTGGCCGCTTCGCGTATGCCCACCAGCCCATCCAGAAGCGATGCCCAGGGGAGTCGAGGTGGTCAGGGCAGTGGGGGAGCGTGCAGAAGAGCAAAGGGCGGGCGGGGGAAGACGTCCGATACCCCAAGAGGGGGAGGATGGTGGAGGAGGAGGGAGAAGAGGAGGAAGGAGGAAGAGACAGTGGACAAGGAGGAAGAGAGGAGGAGGAGGAGGAGAAGGATGAGGGGGAGGAGGAGGAGGAGGAGGAGGAGGAGGAGGAGGAGGAGGAGGAGGAGGAAAAGGGACATCTTGGCGAGTCCAGGGACGTCTCTGAGCGTCTTTGGTGCCTCGGGCATCCTCTTGAGGCTTCTTGGGTGTCTCTTGGGAGCTTCTTGGAGGATTCCTGGACGCCTCTTGGGGCCATCTGGGCGCCTCTTAGGGCCCTCTTGGGTCGCTCTTGGGAGCTTCAGGGGCGCTCTTGGGGCCATCTTGGAGGGCATCGATCAAAAAAAGAGGGGAGCTTCAATTAGCATCAATTAGCCTCCCCCCTCGGGAGCCCCAAGAGTCGCCTCTTGGGCCCCTCTTGAGCCGGTCTTGGAGCGCTCTTGGGGCCGTCTTGGGACTCTCTTGGGCCTCTCCTGGGGCCATCTTGGGTCATCTTGGAGCCATCTTGAGGCCTCGGATGGCCATCGGAAGCGAAAAGGCGAGAAAGGAACAATCACTAATTTTCGTAGGTTTTTGAAAGATTTTGGCCTCTTAGGGAACTCCTTGGAGGTCTCGGAGGCCTCTGGGAGCCGTCTTGGAGCGTTCTTGGGGCTTTTGGAGTCTTGGGCTTTCCGAGGCCCTCTTGGAGCCGTCTTGGGCTATCTTGGACGCTCCAACTACTCGCCGCCCCAGGTCCAGGGAGGGGATGGGGGGGAGGGTTAAACCCTTCCCCGAAGGGGAAGAAGGGGGTGGGAAGAGGAAACTCCCTAGACCACCTACGCCCAGGGCTGGTGGAACTGCATGAGCATTAACTTGTGACGGTCCGCACGGATTTCTTGGATCCGCGCTAGACCGCCTCCCTGGCGCGCGGAGCGTGCCAGCGGCGGCGCCAGAGGCGCCGCCAGGGGGGCCCAACGCCGATCCAAGACGTCCGCGCGGTCCGTCAACAGTTTTTGTTTATGCAGTGTTTCGCCCCTCCAGTGGAGCCGCAGCAGCATTTTCCCGTTCTAACGGTTGTTGGCCCTCGGGGTCCTTATGAACCAGCCGGTGTCGTAGCACACGTGTCTAGCTCCAGCGGACGTGCGAAAGAAGAAAGTGCAATGCCCGCATCTGCCCCCGCAGATGTCGAGCGGGCCATGACGGGTCCGCGCGAGCCCCCCCGCATGGCCTGGAGCGGCGTGTAGGGAGGCATCCCCCCTGGCAGGCCTAGAGGTTGACACCAACACCAGCATCGGCGGTGTGCCTCCACCGAGGGAAGAAGATCCCGATCTCGGTGATGGTGGTAATCTTCTGGCGTCCAAGGTGGCCGAACTGTTACCACCAGCACCGAAATCTAGGATCATCTTCACCCTGTGGAGGCAGCCCCCTGCGTTGGTGTTGGTGTTGGCCCCCCCGTGTTGGGCCTTCTGCGAAATTTTCTAAGCCTTCCCCGAAGACAGACAAAACTTCTCAGAAGGCGCGGGGGCTTCTGAGAAGTCCCTGAGGCCTTCTGAGAAGGCCTTCTCCTTTTCATCTCCCCCCCTCGCCCGCCGCCGAGGCGTGTGGGGAGGCATCCCCCCTCTCTGTGAGGTCTTGCCCACGGGCGGTGTCGGACGCGCGCCGTGGCTATCGTGGGCGCCTGGGCGCCGCTCCCACCGAGCTCTGCCACGGCGTGGCGCGGTCGGCTCCTGCGATGCCAGATCTCCTCCTCCTCCTCCTCCTCCTCCTCCTCCTCCTCCACGTCCTCCTCTTCTCCCTCCTCCTCCTGCTCCTCCTCCTCCTCCTCCTCCGCTCCTCCTCCTTCTCTCCTCCTCCTCCTCCTCCTCCTCCCCTCCCCTCCCCCTCCTCCTCCTCCTCCTCCTCCTCCTCCTCCCCTCCTCCTCCTCCTCCTCCTCCCTCCTCCTCCTCCTCCTCCTCCCCCTTCCCCTCCTCCTCCTCCTCCTCCTCCTCCTCCTCCTCCTCCTGCTCCTCCTGCGCCTCCTTCTCCTTCTCCTCCTTCTCTGAGGCGGAGATGTTCGCTCTCTCTCTCTCTCTTTCGTATCCTTGAAGGGTGCATTTCCGACTCAACTTGGCGACGCAGATAAGCGGGGTCGATTGCGCCGACGTTCGCGCGTAACATGAGGCCGCGCGTGAGCGCCCTTGACTCCATCGTGGCGTGCTAGGTCGCTGTGCCATCTCGCGCAAGACCGCCTCCTTCTCGTCGCTCGGCTGTAAGTCGGAAGACCGGCCAGAGTACGGCGGATCTCGGAGGCTCAGAGGTTGACATCAGCACCAATATTGGGGGAACGAACAATGACATAAACATCAAGCTCGGAGGTCCGCGCGGGTTTCTCGGATCGGCGCTGGACCCACCCTCCCTGGCGCGCGGAGCGCGCCAGGGGCGGCGCTGGTAGGATTGGTCCAGCGCTGATCTGACAAACCCGCGCGGACCTTCGAGTTTTTATGTTTATGCCATGTTTTGTTCCCCTAGATATCCTCGGCGTGCCTCCACCGAGGGAAGACGATCCCGATGTCTCGATGATGGTGGTGATGTTGGGGCTTCCAGGTGGCCAAAAGACTGCCACCAGCACCAGAATCTGGGGTCGTCTTCCCCAGGAGGGGGCAACTCTCTGTGCTGGTGCTGGCGACCACCTCCAAGCCTGCAGTCGGCGAGGAGCGAGGGGGGGAAGTGAGAGGGAGAAGGCCCTCTCAGAGGGCGGCGGGACTTCTCAGAAGCCCCCCCGCCTTCCGAGAAGTTTTCCGTGTCTCCGGGGAAGGCTCAAAAAATTTCCGGGAGGCCGTAGGACTTCCGGGCCTTCTGAGAAGGCCCTCTCCTTCTCTCTTCCCCCCCCCCCGGACTCGCCGCCAATTCATTGGGGAACAAAACAAACGACGCCGCCCCACCTACGGCCCTCCATGCTGCGCTACGGCCCCTCCGGCGCCGCAGCGTAGAGCACGCAGAAAACCCACGTCAGATCTTTCCTGGTATGCGCGAAGCCCCCTGTGGCCGAAGGGTTGGGTGGTGTCTTCTGTTTTTCTGGTCCATCTTCTCTCGGCCGCGAGCGAGGGGAGGAAGTGAGAAAGAGAAGGCCTTCTCAGAAGCTTCGGAAGTCCCCAGGGCTTCTGAGAAGCTTTCTCAGCCTTGCCCGAAGACAGACAAACACTTCGCAGAAGGCGCGAGTGCCTCTGAGAAGCCCCGCTGCCTTTGAGAAGGCCTTCTCCTTCTCGTTTCCCCCCCTCACTCGCCGCCAATTCTCATTTTCCAAGGAGAAAACGCCATGAACCTAAACTTTTGGCGCTCGGCGCGGATTTCTCGGATCCGCGCTGGGCCCCAGCGCCAAGAGTCTGTGCTTGTGGTCTGTGCTCTGTGCAGGGGCTCGCCGCCAGGTCGGGTTATCCGGAGTCGGGGCGGGCGGCGCGCGCACGCGAGCGCCCCCCGCGGCGTCCGCTCGCCGCGGCGCTCCCCCGCAG